AAATCCAACTCTGATCTCTGTCCAACTGGATAGTCTCCAATCTGAAGAAGAAGAAGAAGAAGAAGGAGGAGGAAGAGGAGAGAGAGAGAGAGGGGACTGGCGAGGGAGAGGAGGAGAGACCCTCCAAGCTCCCGATACCTCAGGCGGTAATAACCGCCGTGCAAGCTCAGTCGCCCGCTGCTGCTCCGCTCGCTGCTGCGCTATGCTGCGCTCCTGCTTCAGCCCCTGCGCTAAGTGTAGCGCATCAAACAGTGCACTAGCACTGACCATGCCGTGCCGGTTGAGTTCCGGTAGGCCGATCCCACTACTGAGGCGGATACCGGTACTTATACCGGTGGGCAATGGTCTGGCCTCAATGCTGCGAGGCCAGGCCAGACCCTGAACCGTCCAGATGGACGGTTCAGCCTCAATCGGCAGGCGGCAGCTTCAAGAGCGCCGCCAGGCCCAAACGAAGCGTCGTTTGGGCCTACCCAATGGGTGATAGTCCAAAATCAGGCCTTTAGGGCCTGTAAACCCCAAAGGTCGGGCCTTTAGGCCCTGGTGTGTCCCTCCGGCCCTAAGTCGGGTCCGGTAGGACCCGTGTGAGTCGAAGATGTAACAGCAAAGGACAACACAAAGCAGCTATGGCTTCTCTAGCTCAGGCCGCCATTCCTGACTCTGCCGTGAAGCTTCTTGGTGTAGCTCTACCCCAGCTGGGGGCTTCCAAATGCAGCGCCCACCAAGGTGATGAAGATGGCATCCTCCATAGCCAGGTAAGTACCTCTGGCGCCCCTCCTTCCTAGTTGTAGTCTTCTTCCTCCTCCTGTCATTGCTCCTCCCCAGCAGCGCTGCTCTGATGCTAGCGCTGGTCCAGCCAGTGCTCCAACCAGCGTGGCGCCAAACTTGCACACCGACAACGAGGAGCACTGCGCTCCTCCTGAAGATATAGCAGCGTGCTTGCCTCTTGGCGAGTGACTTCCTAGGCCGTGCGGCCTCCAAGCAACCGGTACCTCCTCCCATTTGGAGGGAAACATCATTGCAGACTCTGATATTGCCCGTACAGCCCCTAGACTCAGACTGGTTGGACTGGTACCTGCCTAGACCTAGCCTACAACTACTGGGCCTGTAAGAATGCCAACTTTGTCGTCTTCTCCTCGACCTCGACTACCCGGCACATCTATCTCTGCCTCTACCTGGTGTGGTACTGGCCTTACCTGCTACTTGAGTGTTTTTCCGCTGCTTCAAGTGCTGCGGGCCTCTTTCCCCACCGCTCGAGTGTTTTCCCCGCTGCAACCCTCAATGCCACGGCCGCAGGTAAGTACCGCCCCTTTGGGCCTTCTTCCAGACAGACTAGTACCCTCGCGGATCACACACACACTCAAACCAACAAGCACACAGACAGGCATGCAGACCAGCAAGCACGCACACACTCCGACTTAGAAAACTCAGCAACAAGTGGGAAACTCGGCAAGGCATGCATTGCTTTTGAAAAACTCAGAAATCAGCTGTGTCGCAGTCCGTTTTTGGCAGGTCCTAAGAGGTGAGTATTTAGAACCCTGTGAGAACTCCACCTCCTATTTCCTTCCTCGTCTCCTCTTCTGTACTACTAGTAAATGCATACGAATGAGCATCATTAAGAGAACAGACAAAATATGGGCTGAAGATCTTGAGGTGGGCACCCTCCACTACCACCATTAAGAGAACAGGCAAAATATAGGTCTATGTACCATACTAGAAAATGCATACCATTACTCTGCCTCCTTTCGCAGTTTGCGAGTGGGCCGTTATGGCACATGAGGATGTGGGCAGCAGCTCGTGCTCAACCACAATCAATGTGGCGAGCGTTGTGCATGAGAGGCACGGTAAAAGGGGAGCAGCAAGAACAAATCGACGGGTTATTATACCCCAAAGAAAGCCCTAGTGAACACAGATCAGAAAGGGATTATACTCTTGCTATAAAGCTGGAACCGTCTCGTTGTTGTGTAGTCTCAACCCAAGTGTTTTTGTTGTCTGCAATAGGACTAAAGCTGCTTTGATTCTGGATAGACTGGTATGGGTGCGATGGGGGCATCACCTCGTTTCATCTCCTCTCTTGCACTCTCTTGACCCACACCACTTATTCGAACCAGGAGCTGATCTTCAGTCATGCTGCCCTTGACAGTTATGAGCTTCTGAGAGGGGTTGCATGGGAGGCCGCCTGGCTGTACCTTCTGGTATTCTTGCATCTGTGTAAAAGGCAAGTGCCCTGGCCATTGCTTCGAGAAAAAGGCTTGTGGACGGGCCTAGCTCAGTTGGTACACACCATGGAGTCATGGACTGTTGAAATACAGACCCGAGTTATAGAGTCCAGATGCTATCAGACATAATTGATAATTCTGAATTGCATGAGAGGCCGCCTGGCTGTACCTTCTGGTATTCTTGCATCTGTGTAAAAGGCAAGTGCTCTGGCCATTGCATTGAGAAAAAGACGTACGGATGGGCCTATCTCAGTTGGTACACACCATGAACTGTTGAAATACAGACCCGAGTTCGAGTCCAGATGCTATCGGACAATTGGTAATTTTGAAATGCTGAATTAATTACTATCCTCGGTCTCTGCATCTGGTCAAATTCTAAAAGAGAGAAAAAAGACTTCTGCTCTTGTGTTTCGGTTTTCCTTGCTTTCAGGGGGGAAAAACTTCAAAAAAGGGAAATTTGGGTAAATAAAAAATCGTCGAGTTTGTGTTATCAGCACGTGCACTCACACGAGCAAACTCTTTGCGGAGTCTGTGAGACGTAATAGCTCGTGTGCAAGTGTATTTCATGAACTTCAGCAAAGTGTGCTAGGTATCGGAAAGATGTGTCACCGCAATAGCTTGCTAGTCATATCAGTCAGATCCTCGTGATGTTTCCACATTTTTGCAAAGACTTTGGAGAGCTGAGTGGTATATGATCCTCAACGTTGCGGACTTGAATGATAGCAGTGAGGATAGGCTGGAGCTGTTCTCCACACTGTTCTTTGCTCAGTGATTTTTCATTGCTCTCTCCCGGCTATTGGGGTGACACTTTATTCTGATACTAAGCATCTCTTGCTGTGATGATGGCCCATAGCAAGGCAGAGAATCAGCAGCGTGGTTTGTGTCGTTTTTTATAGCTCCTTTTTTTCGATGACGAACCGCTTCTCTACTCTTTTTTTTTTTTTCCATGGAACGCTTCTGCGAGATGAAGCAGTGATTCTTTGGTGTTTTCTGGTGGCCTAGCAGGAAATGAGGATTTTGGCCGAGGTAGATAAACCTGGAAGTGCAGTGGAGCAGTACGTGGTACAGCTGAACCAGATTTTGACACAGAAAGCTTCAGCAATTGCCGATCTCCAGTCGCGACTGGCGACTTTTCAGCGCCACCTGAAGGAAGAGGCGATCCTGAGCCGAACGGTTGGGCTACGCAGGCGTTAGGTTATGTCAGGCTTTTCTGACTGGATGTCCTATGAACCTGATGTTAAGGGGAGAGCTAGCTCTTCTTCGTATGATTGCCTTGGTGTGTCTATTCCTGCCATGTATTATTAGCACATGCGTGCTGACGGAATCCAAAAGTCTCAAGGCGGAGGAATATACATCTTTGGCTCATGTGAGTGGCTTCGCCAGATGTGCCGGACTGCGAAGGTATCGTACTGCGAGACATGCTGTGTCTTTATGCCGTGTTCCGTGACGTGGCCATCGAACGCGGACAGAATGCAGATGCAATGCATTCGTTCGATCTAGCTGAATGGCCAGCATGATTATCCCACCTGTGTCCTGTCCGCATGCGCCGTTGATGTGACAGCCGGCATGAACTCTCGACGGTGATGATGGTTATTATCTCTGGATGCTTATTATCCCGGAGATTACGACAGCGGTGATGCTGATCACAGTGGCACTAGTAGTAGTGGACTGAATGATGGAAGTGGAAGCAGCAGCAAGCATCCAACGAACATACAGGTGCATCATTCATGTTGATAGAAACTGTGTGGATCTTATGGCTCAGTTGGAAATTATATACAGCCCCCTCCATTTGTGAATGTGGTCATGTTTCCAACTAGGTGCAGCTATTTTGTCTGTGGAGTTTGGCCAGAACTGTGTCACCCGCTAGCACTTCTACATGGTGTTTGGTGGTTTGTGTGATGGCGGACCATTATTCGTTGCATCTTCAAACGAGTGGAGGCTTCTTCCAAGTTTAGCGTTTTCCCACGACCACTCCAGAAAGGTGTTCATTTTTCGCCAATGGCCTGGCAGAAGTTGCAGATATCCTTTCATGGTTATATATACATACATAGAATATGGTGAGTTTGAACTTTGAAATTGGCTTTGGGCTTCAGTTGGCTACTCAGAGGTTTGCGAAGTAGCGGATACTATTAGCGACCATACTATACCGTTTAACGGAAGTAGCGGTTGCTGGTAGTAGACGGAAAATTTGGGCAAGCAGAGATGTCTGGGGAGGGAATGAGGTAGGAGATGGAAGAGAAATGAGGAAGGGGGAAGGGGGAAGGGGGAAGGAAGAAGGGCAGGAGGGAGGGCATGATGCTGAGTGGGAGGGAGGGAGGAAGGGAGGGAATTGGTGGATATACCTCAGGAATTGTGTTCGTAGATGGACAGCCGGCGCTTTGAAGGTGCATCGGGATGGAGAAGTGAAAGGTGGATGGATCAGTTGCGCGAGGTGGATCTTCCACACCAAAAACGTTGGGAAGAGTGCGGCGAGAGGATATGTTTCGTAGATGTAAAGGCTTGGAACGATGGGGGCTGGATGGAATGGGGTGGGTGAGGGCAGCTGCTGGTAGACCAATGAAGGAGAAGCGTCAGATGAAGGGGCACGCATGCATGTTCTATGAGACAGTTTGGATGAAGTATAGAGGGAGCGAGGGAGGGGAGGAAGGGTGTTCTCATTGTCGCTGACCTACAAAAAAGTTGCTCTAGCATCATACAACAGTGTAGCCAGGGCGTGATTGTGTGTTGTGCTGAGAGCTATGCCCGGCGAGGAAGCAGAAGTGTGCAGTGGCTTGCCTCTGTAAAAATTTTCCTCTATATTTATGTTTCTTTTGAGGAGGAGCTTTGTTCTCACTGCCCCTGCCTAACGTGGGGGGGATCGGAGATGGTCCTTTGCCTTCCATCTCTCTGAGCAAGCTCCTTGTTCGTACAGCTGGAGAAGAGCTCAAGCTCAGAGGACTCTTCTCTTTGCAACTGCTAATCAAATGATTCTTCTTCCCTTTCAATCTCTTATGAAGCTCACTGCTGAAAGCTCTGTAGTAATGTTCAAAAATCTAAGGAAAGATACCGAGCATGGTGCGCAAGATGCCCAATTTAGAGCAAAAAGCGACCTCACCTGTGTCGTTGGTCATGCTGTTAACCTTCTCCCTGTCGTAAGAGGAAGGGGGTCTGTGTTATCTGTGTATGCTGTGCTGTGTAGGTAAGTGTGAGTCTGCATTGTGTGTGTGTGTGTGTGTGTGTGTGTGTGTGTGTGTGTGTGTGTGTGTGTGTGTGCGTGTGTGTGTGTGTTGTTTGTATGTATATGAATTGCGTGAGGTGTGTGCAGCATGTTAAGCGTGCGTGCATTCTATTGATCTGCACATGCGAACCTGGCAGAGAACACAGAAATTGACATAATATGTGGTGCCTAACATGGAACCTCAGTTGGGACATGTGAGCACAGGTCTCTCTCTCTCTCTCTCTCTCTCTCTCTCTCTCTCTCTCTCTCTCTCTCTCTCTCTCTCTCT